AAGGGGGGAAGGTATGCTGCATATTCCCACCTGGTCTAGATAATTCAAAACACAAATATTGAGCCTAGACTTCTTGTTTTTACCTTTATAAGTGACTCCTTAAAAGAAGTACGACATCTACTGAAAACATATCTCAATCAGCAACAATAATTAGGTCCCTGCTGGAGACTATATACAGAATCCCAGAACAAAAAGATAATTGTATTCTAGGTTTCATAAAATGCACTGTAAAAATACAGCGATCTTGGATAAAAGTAGCAAGCCGATATGAATTCTTCATGCCACTACTGAAAATCACATGATTCTTGAAATCCATAATAAAAATTGTGCCAAACTAAGTACTTTCTCTTTGGTGAGTTACTGAAAATTTACAAGAATAGGTGCATTGTTGGTTTCAAAGAAAGGTATTGTTGATATACCATTCATCAAAAGAAATATGCAGGTGAGGCTTTCAATCACATGGTGCCTTTAATATGTGAAAGAACTTCAACTACATAATTTTTTAAAAAAATTCCTTACAATATTCCTGTATGATATGGCAGTCTCATTAGCCCCTTACAGTCCAAGAGCCTGTTACAAAAAAGTGCACATTCTAAGTTTGGCTGGCTAGGCATTTTATAAAAGTTGTGTCATTTCCAAAACTGTCAGTCTTATGAGCAGTTGCTGGGAGGCATTTATGGGGTGAGAGCCCAGTAAAAACCTTTTCCAGGGTTCAGCATTCTCAGCATTACATAATAAGGTACTTGGATGAAACAAGCTGTATCTGTTGGGGAACCATGTATATAATTATTTTGGATTATTATTAGAGATGGGAGGCTAAGACTAATGGACAACACCTTTGAGTTTGTGGCTGAGATGGTATTTGAGAAGTAGCTAAGAATCTCAGCAGTGTGTGCCTATAGTTCCACAGAACTTGACCACATTAACACCTGGAGCATGTGGAAGAATGAGAACCCATTTCCACTTCCAAAGCAAATTCCATGATTAACTGAGGATTGGTCTATAGTAGGTGGTTTGTCTCACGACAGCTGATATATAAAGGGACATACAAGTCCATATCCTTTCTTCAAAGGAATGTACGCTCTGGTCCCTGCCATCAGCCTGAGGTCTAAAAGGATTGAATTCTTGCCTCCAAGAAAAAAAATCACAGCTCTCTGTTTTGAATAGTTTAAAAATTATTCTGGTTTAGGAACGGTTCTGTGTTCCTCTTTTAGCCTAAAATGTTTGGATTTTGGTTTAAGAAACACTGCTAAATATACTGATCGTAAGTTTTATGTTGAAAGGCAGCCTATAAGTTGTTAAAGCAAGTAAAGATTGAATTTGCAGTTGATTCGTAGAATTTAGAGTGGCAAAAGCAGCAATGCACACTGGACTCAAACACTATTGTGCCTCATAAAGAACCGTGGCCATCTGATGTGAGGCAATAAAAGAAAATCACACTGCTATGGCTCATTCCATCCCCAGACTTTATGCCAAGCCACTTTCGTGCTTCCTCGCTTGTTTTGTAAACAAATATTGGGATGATACCTCAAGTCTCACTAACTAATTAACTTTCTCATTTCTGTGAAAAGGTTAAACAGATTGTTTGCTGGAAAATAAAACATATAGCGTGCCTTAATTCCACACTTGCTCATTTTTTATTTTTCCTCTTAGAGACGACTGTAAGCCAATTTTGCGTTGGTCATAAAATGTGAACAGATTTGTGTGTGGGCACTGCTTCCTAAAAATGTTAGAATGAAAGAAGAAAGGGTAAATGGTAGCTAAAGTGATTTCAGTTAACAATAATACCAATAACATGGCTAACTTCCAACCTTTGTGCTTAGACAGGTTGTTGTTTTCTAACTTAAAAAAGAAATGGATAACCTTACTTTTATTGCAATGACCTGATTTTTTTTTATTGGCCTCCACAAAGTCTGGTTGGCTTTGGAAGCTGGCTTCTTCCTTTTTTCCTGCTTGTAAATTTTCATTTTAAAACCACATCAGAAGAAGGAAACTATGACATCCCCAAATCATTAGGGAAACTGAGATTTTACATATGCCCAATTCATCTAAAGGGCTTTGTTGCTGGAATTGTTGTAAAGCTTCAGTATATTAAACAGCTGACCAGAAATGTCATACTTTTTGCAACTGGTTTCAGCTACACGGTAATTTCAAATTCAATATAAAATGAAAAGGGAATCATTAAATAAAAGTAAAGAGCTTGTGTTGACGTCTTTGAATTAAACATACAACAGACCTAAAGACTTGCAACAGGTCCATCATATTTAGTTTGGGGAATGCTAAATATGGGGAATGCTGAACTATATTCTGTTTAGTTCAAATCTAAGATAACTTGAATGGCAAAATAATCATTCTGTCACAGTGCAGTTTCAGGTGGGCACCATCAGTTTTGAAAAATCCAGTGACGCTAATTTTTAACTTAAGAATGCCACTGAAATTGCAATTGTTTTATTTTTTCCTTTTTATAGGTTCAATCCATGTCAACGATGTGTGCACTATACAACTGCATTATCTAGCAGTGCAGAAGTTGCGGCTTGTCTGAGAAGCTGTGGTGGAATGTTCTTGAATATGTTTTAGAACTGTATTTGATGCAGAATCCTTCACCGCACCTTACCGCAAAGTTCCTTGAGCATTTCATTTGCACATCACAGCAGTGATAACCGGCCAGAGATACTTTGAGTGGAATCCTTAGAGAAGGGGGAGCCAGAGTGGTGTCCTGCAGATGCTGCTAGACTGCAACTCTCATCAGGAGAGGAATCTGAATGGTTGGCCACCCCGCCCTAGAGTGACCACATTTGGAAGGGATGCATACAGTACAGAGGATTCTTCCATTTGAAATCTGTAGTCCTTTCCACCTACACAGTCTTCCACGTGTATCTATCAATATTATCTAGCATACACAGGTTACAGTGGACGAGGAAAGGGCAATTATTGCTCTCAAATCAGCAGGACAATGACCTGTGTCTTGTAAGCGAGAAACAGCAAACCTTAATTTTAATGGCATTCTTCTCCTATAAGGCTAAGATGCATCAGGGGATGTGATTCAGAAGAGCATCTGGTCTCAACAAAAGAAAAATATAATTTTTATACCCAGACAATCATTTGGCGATGGGGAAAGAGCTGGAGTTTGGGATTCAGATGGGTGCCTGATGAGCATAATGTTTGAGGTTTGTATGGGGATCTGATTGGCATGCTGCTTGTGCCAAATGAAGGGGTGAATTTTGGGGTCGTCAAGAAGAAGAAGAAGAAGAAGAAGAAGAAGAAGAAGAAGAAGAAGAAGAAGAAGAATTATTATTTATTATTTCTACCCTGTCCATCTGGCTGGGTTTCCCCAGCCACTCTGGGTGGCTTTTAACAGAACATTAAAAACAAAATATAGCTTCAAACATTAAAAACTTCCCTAAACAGGACTGCCTTCAGATGTCTTGGATGGATGGGTATTTGACCTTGCTTAAAGGAGAAGGGTGATTTCAGGGGCTAGTATGGAGTTTAGACTGATGTCTGGTCTTATGTAGTACAGTCGTACCTCGGTTTTCGAATGTGTCTGTTGATGAATATCTCGGTTTTCGAACGCCGTAAACCCGTAAGTAAATGCTTCAGGTTTTGAACACACCTCAGAAGTTGAACATGCCACATGGCTTCTGCTGAGTGCAAGATCCTGAGGCCTAGCTGTTGGCTATTGGGTTTTCGAACATTTCAGAACTCGGTCTTCCGGGATGGATTACGTTTGAAAACCAAGGTACCACTGTATAGGTATCCTACACAGTGAATAAGAAAATGATATTTTTTTGTGGGTGGCAAAATGACGGTTTTCCATTGTTCGAAAGTGTGGGGTAAATCTTAGTGTATGAATAGGAAATCCAGTTTTGGACAAAGGATTGGAGTGACATCTTTAGCTCAGATGAGGTTTGGAAGTAAGTCTCACATTGCGCAGTGGGATTTACTCCCAAGCAGATGTGAACTGGACTGTAACTTTATGAAATAATCTGTTTCTAAAATAAACTGTTAATGTATTCAGTATGCTATACTGTAGCAGCAGCACTGATTATAAGAATGCTGCTAGCTGTTTTGAATTGATTAGGAAAAAATGGGATGTACCATCACTACCACCACAGATAGATAGATAATGTAGATATGTAGGGCCATTATGAAATGTCTTTGTTCTTTCCTGCCATGATGATTCCATAAAGTAGGGACTGCACAAAGTGTTGTGAGGCAATTCCTGACTGGGTTAGGCTACTGGCGGCACTGAGGTCTGCTATCTGCACTGGATCTTTATACTCTTCTAAGGCCCAGTATGTGATTTGGATCTACAAAGTCCTTAATGTATGAAAGTCAACAGTGTTTAGGGACCGTCTCCTTCACGACCTGCAAAATCAGGAAGTTTTTGAGTTTTCCACATGTTTGCAAAGTTAGGAAAGTTCCACAACTATGGAGCAGTCAGTGAGAAGTAATATGACTCAAATAATAATAAAAAAGGCTTCAGCCTATCTTTGCTAAACAGTGTTTTGTATGTTTTTATTATATACCATTTTACAATGAGTATCCACTTCTTAGGGTTTTCATCTTGGTTTTTTTAATGTATTTGTTACTCTGGTTTCTCTTCAGATCGTATAAATCTTTCGCCTTTTAATGTATTTGTTGCACTGGTGTTTTTAGATTTATTATTTTATGTGTAAATCACCTTAGAAACAGTGGTTTAGAAGGCAATTAATAAATTAAGTGTAATAATAACAATAATATTCAGCACTTGCTCCTGAGTCTTCCATATAAGCTAAACAAATGAATAATATGGTCTGGATATGAATGAAAATGAATTCATTAAAAGTTACTTCCTACAAATCAGAGTCTGTCTGTATGAATAATTCATATGTCCTGAAAAATCCAATAATCTGAGTGAAGAGGTCTTTGTTTTGACAGTATGGGTTGATGCTAGGAAACCCGGGAGAACATGTTTCAGTATATACACCGATACCCCACAACTGCAGTATTGTACTCACAATCAGGTGACCCTGTGTGTGCGTGCAGGTTTCTTGCTGAATGTGATGAATGGATGAGAGCTGGGCTCAAAGATGGGACAGTTTCAAAGTTCAGGCAGGGAAGGCCTGACTTGGCGCTGTATGCACCCGTCTGCGTAATCTCATTCTCCTCAGGCTCTTTCTGTTTTTCAGCTGTCTTGGGTTTCTTCCTGAAAACAAACAAAGAGACCTTTGAAGGAACTTGTTGCATATGCAGGAAACAGCATTTTTAGAATTGTTAAGAGAAAGCTCTTTTTTGTGGCCAACTTAAAGGGAGGGATCCTCTTCTGAATACTTCTTATTTGGAAAGGTGCCAGTTCTCATATTTACTCAGATACAATGATCAATGTATCATATTAAAAACATGCCATTCAAAAACATGCAATAGTATCTTTGAGGAGTTCACAGAAGGACAAACCTGCTCCACTGGTTTAGGTTATTCAGATACTACTGAAAGCCAGTGGCTAAAAACTAACATCCTATTATTATTATTATTATTATTATTATTATTATTATTAATTACAGCATGGCAATAGCCATAATAGTTATTATTACCAACCAAAATGTCTCAAAATAGTGAGCATGATTTTATGTATGCCAGAAATCTTCATTAAACTGATCACAGCTAGATGAAGATGTATAGGAGCAAAAACCACATGTTGCAATATAGGCAACAAACATGTAGTTTAGTTATTTTTATTAGCGCAGAGCAGTATTGGGGGAAATATGGCCCTGGGGGTGAAGAGAGTTGGAGTCAAATAACATTGGGAGGGCAACAGGTTCCCCGCCACAGTTAGAGCTCATTGCAATGTCACACATGCATCCTATCATTTCTCAAATGACAAAAATTTTGCCAAAGATGCAGTCAAGACTATCACTGAGCTTCTTGGTTGGAATTCAGATTTAGATTACCTTCCATTCACTTTGAATTTTGGATAAAATTATTTCCCTGCAAGTGATTTCTAAAGTGTAGCATAATTCTTTATATTAAAAATAAATAAATTATGCTGAAGCAGAAGGTGCTTGATACCAAGATCAACCAGTAAAATGGCACTTCTGCTTTATGTTTCACTCTCAGGTCTGCTCATTAGACACTCTGAAACCTGCTCAGAGAACTTGCTAGTCCCTGCCTTTCTTGAAGCTGTTAAGAAAAAACCCACTTGCTCCCACTCAGGAACTGGCCACACTGGGAATCAAATGGGCCATAAAAGGTGAAATAGTCAACAGCAGCTAATCCAGGAGAAAATAGACCCAGAGTATAAATGGACCCAGAGTATAAAGGCACAGTGGTGTAAAGGATGAAAGATTCTTGCACCTTTAATAGTTGCATAAAAGGAAGAATATTAGCAGGTGCAGTTTCTCTCACTCCTACATAAGTGGTGCCTGCCAAAGGTTCCACTTCACACAATTTTGAAAAGCACAGAAGCTCTATCTACTTTTGCATATGATATTGCAAATTGCAAAGCCATTGCACATTGGTGGAACAAAAAATGCTAGTTCATACTACACAGTGGTACATGAAGTAGGGGTTTGAAGCCAATCCTCTGTCCAGGTGCTAAAATTACTTCTTATTGCACACTATTTGCCATGCTTATGTAAGGAAGCAGACATAGAGAGCCCAAGTAGTTTCCATGGCAATCCACATAGTATGATGCTACACTTGAGAACTGGGATGAAGAAGGTTATTCCAGTACAGCACAATGTAACCTTGTATTTTAGTGGTCTGCATTGATGTATTTCCAATGCAATCAATTAAAACAACACTCCTTTCAACATATATGACTATATTTTAAAAACAGTCAAGATAAAGAACATTCTTACTAATAAATATGAAATTTATAGTCAACAGGAGCTTTGCCAATTAATTCAGTGGGTTGGTCATTGCACTAATAATTCTTTAAGGAAAAATGGATAATTTATTTCCTACAAACTCCACATTTACATTAATGGAAATGTGATACTGTACCATTCTCTCATTATTATATTTTTTAACATCAGAGTAAATACCACTGCTAGAATTGTACTTCATTAACAATTGGTGCAACAGAGTGGTTCTTACAACGACTATCCACCCTCCAATAACAGCTTGGAGGGAAAAATATTATGCATATTCTATTACTAGAATCAATATTCTATTACTAGAATCAATCTAATTAGTCCAAAGCAATTACTGCTACTACTATTATTAACTGATCGCACCTCTGAAGAACAGTTCATATTCTCTTTGTTCTGCAGTAGGAAACAAAGCCAGCTGGACACTATGGGTTGGTTCAGACCTAATGGGAAAACATGGCTTCCCTGCTATGCGAACAAGCCTACATGAACCTCAAGTTTGCACACTTCTCTCTCCCCTCTCCTTGTGTGACCGTAAAGAGGAGATTTGAATTTTAAGCTCCCATTTCTAAACACACCACAGCTTCCTCTTATGTCTGAACTCACTTCAGCTTGTTTAAACTGTGGTTTCTGAACTGCCTGGATATGAAACTATGGTTTTATCCTGGCTTGTTTCAAGAAACCACGGCTCCCTTAGTTGAGATTGTTACGCAGCACACTTTTGAGGTGAATCTGTGAGCAGGGGAAAGGTGACCACCAGTTTATTTATTTCTTGCTTTGACACTAGTACATTTTTGATTACCACCACTAGGTCATTGGAGCAAGCGGAATTGAGTGAATTTTAATAACATATTGGTGAATGTGGCTTGCTTAAAAGTGAACATTAGGGACTGAAAGAGGTTGGTGCCTACTGATTTGAAATTGGTGTGGCATCCACTTTAATTTAGAGAAATAGGCAGCTGTGGTCACACTTATTTTAGTCAGTAACAGTTTTCATGAAGACAATATTTAGGTTGAAAAATGGCTGTCATAATCATTTAGGGAATATAGATTCTTTGAACTTATTAGCTAAACGGGACAGACGTTTATTATCAATATATTCTTAGGGTAGTAAAAAATAATAATAATTAATAGTAACTTTTCAAGATTGACGATGCAAACAAAAAAACCCTTTGTGTTGGCCTGTAAAAAAACAACAACTTTCTGAATAAATCTGTGGAACTTAGCAGGTGAATACAGTGTTTAATTTCTTGGGCATGGGTACATCTTACCAGTTTGTGTGCTTCCTTAAGAAATAAAGCACCAGCTGTTTTCACTGTTGAATAGTTATTGATTTTTCATATGAAGCCCTAGCCACACCTGCTGCTCCACCCCCAACAGAACTGGGTCATCTAGCTAGGGTCACTTTAAGAGAGTCCCCGTGCTTCTAATGGAAGTGACAAGACTGATTTAAAGCACTTTGTTGCAGAGATCAGGAACTGAAAAGGGAAGCAGGAGAAGCCTTTAAAAACCTTTATGAGTCTTCTCCTTTAAGATCAGAGCAAGATTGAGTACTTAAAAGGTAAGGGGGAGTCTACACTAGCCATACTGGCTTGGATTGATGGAATCTAACACCAGCAGGAGGGCCAAATATTCCTCACTGCCAAGTAGCCTGGTGGAGAAGGAATGAATCCCTCCATCCATTATCTGCCAGCATGCTTAGTTTCCCATGGACCTTTTTTTCCTCAGCAGCTGCTCAGATATACAATGGGTTTATGGAAAAGGGATGGAACAATTTATCCCTACTCAGTCAGGTTTGCCTTTCTCAATGTTGAGTGTGGAAACCAGCAAGCAGGCAGAGAAGAGACAGCAATCCACCCCTTTTCCACCAATGCACGCACTCAGAAATTCCACGAACTCTCGGTGGAAATCCTTGTCACCTATGGCACCCAGGCAAGTATTCAAATAAATGTGTGACGAAAGCCTTCCCCACTTCCTGTGCCATTTTGAAGTTGTTAAGCATGCCATGTTAGCACATTTTGTTTTAAAATCTGTTCTGTTCAGAGTTGTGCCCTATCTTACCTTTTAGCACTGGGGTTCATATGTCCCAAAATATCAGGAAAACCGCCACACCATCTTTCTTTAAAAATACCCTGCTGTAAGTTTATCCCTATCCCTATATCTGTAAAGCGCGGATGAAGATAAAATGCTCTGGATAAATGTTGATACTGCTTTAGCAGATATAAAAGCAAATTCTTTTATGTTTGCTTGGAAAGATCCAGAAAGTTTTAAGAGGACTACGGATAAGGCATCTTTTGAGGATGGGAACACTGAAGTAAAAATCAGAAATACAATGCCATATGATGGAAGGGTAGGTTTCAAAGACAAACGTTTCTGTGAAAACTAGTACTTTGTGCTTCCTGCACAGGATCAGGTTGTAGAAGAGATTAAAAGCAGAAAAGATACAGACTTGAGTTGGAATGATAAAAACAAGAAAATGAACTCAACAATAATGTTCAGTTTTAACAAAATGACAAAAAACCCCACAATTTCCCAAGGGCAGAGGAAAAAAACAAACAACAATAAATGCTGGAAAACAGAATATTTAAAAACATGGGTCCAGCTCATTTTTTTCTTTTGATTTACAGGTTGAACTGTTTTTCTTCAACAGCTAACACAAAATAATTTGACCAGAAATGTTAAGGGGCAAGAAACACATGCTGGTAATTGTGGAGAGATGGTGAAAGGCAGGTAGACCTATACAACTAGCAGATACAGTGGTATCTCCGGTTAAGAACTTAATTCGTTCTGGAGGTCTGTTCTTAACCTGAAAATGTTCTTAACCTGAGGTACCACTTTAGCTAATGGGGCCTCCCACCGCTGCTGCGCAATTTCTGTTCTCATCCTGAAGCAAAGTTCTTAACCCGAGGTACTATTTCTGGGTTAGCGGAGTCTGTAACCTGAAACGTCTGTAACCCTAGGTACCACTGTATTTGAATTGTCTGCATATAAGAACAAAGAACAAGCTTGCTGGATCAGGCCAATGGCCCATCGAGTCCAGCATCCTGTTCTCACAGTGGCTGACCAGATGCCGGTAGGAATCCTGCAAACTGCACAACAGCATTCTGTCCACCTGTGATTCCCAACAACTGGTATTCACAGCATTATGCCTCTGACAGTGACGGCAAAACATAGCCATTGTGGCTAGTAGCTGTTGATAGCCTTGTCCTCCACGAATTTGTCTACTCCTCTTTTAAAGCCATCACAGCCTCCCGTGGGAGCAAGTTCCATAGTTTAACTAAGCACTGTGTGAAGAAGTAAACAGCTAACACACATATGCACAAATATCATGAGATAT